TAAACCATTGCCGGGGAGGGACTTGATGGAAAAATTGGAAGCAGAGATTAAATTCAAAAAGGGAAAGGGTTTACAAGTTTTAATTCCTGAATCTAAATTTGTCCAAGTTGCTGCACTTTTGATACAGGAAAAATGCAGTGAAAATCCCCGCTAAAGTGGAAGATGTGGTAAAACCAATAGTGTAGGCCAATGATATCCCAGGAATATCAACAAGCAGAACCAGTGAGTATTGCACTCAAACCAGGAGCCACACCTGTAAGGCAAAAACAATACCCTTTACAATTAGAGAACCAGCAGCGATTGGTATCTGCAATTGAAAAACTCCTACAACATGGTCTGTTAGTGCAATGTGAGTACAAATTCAACACCCCCATTTTAGCTGTTAAGAAAGCAGATGGCAAGAGTTACCGATTACTATAAGATTTAAGAGCATTCAACAAAATTACAGAGGATATACATCCAGTAGTAGCCAATCCCTACACTCTTTTGACCACAGAACTGACAGATGAATTAGGGGATTTACTGTTATAGATCTGAAGGATGCCTTTTTCTGCATTCCTATACACAAAAACAGTCAAGAGCTTTTTGCTTTTGAATGGGAAAATCCTGAGACAGGGAGGAAATGTGAACTTGCCTGGAGAGTTTTACCCCAAGGTTTCAAGAACAACCCTACCATATTTGGAAACCAGCTAGCAAAGGAATTAGAAGACTAGAAAAGACAAGACCCAGAAGGAGATGGTCTTCAATACATGGATAACATCTTGATTGCAGCCAGGACCAGAGATGACTGCATACGATTCACCATAAATTTATTAAACTTCTTGGGACTGAGTGGGTACAGAGTTTCTAAACACAAAGCACAGATTGCTAAAGAAGCAGTAGTCTATTTGGGGCTTCCGTGGACACCAACAGCTCAGCAAGGAACGGAAAGAAGCCATCTGTCAACTCCCAGAGCCCCATAGAGTGAGAGAGATGCAAGCTTTCCTGGGAATGGTAGGTTGGTGTCGTTTGTGGATAGCAAATTACGGATTTCTAGTAAAACCCCTACATGGGGCATTAAAAGCAGCCAAGAGAGGAATTATCCCATGGACTGAACACACCAGAGCGGCTTTTAAACAGCTGAAACACTCTCTAATGTCGGCTCCATCACTGGGACTGCCAGACCTAACTAAACCTTTTTAACTTTTTACATATGAGAAACAGAATATGGTTTTGGGGGTACTAGTGCAGTGCCTCGGGAACCAGCGGAGAGCTGTGGCCTACTTTTCTAAACAGCTAGACAGTGTTGCCCAAGGTTGGCTAGGGTGCCTAAAGGCCATGGCAGCCACTGTCATCTTGATCTAGGAGGCCCAAAAACCCACCCTTGAGCTACACATTGTACTGTATGTACCCCATGCAGTAGCAGCTGTCCTTGAGCAAAAGGGGGGACATTGGCTGTCCAGCATCCAGATGCTGAAATACCAATCACTGTTATTAGAGCAGGATGATGTTACCCTGAAAACAACTTCTGTTGTTAACCCTGCTGTGTTTCTGTCCTCCATCTTAATTGACAATGAGCCAGAGCATGACTGCTTGCAGATAATTGAAGAAGCCGATTCCAGCCAACCAGATCTGAAAGATGTGCCCATGCAGAATCCAGATTGGGAGCTTTTTACAGGTGGAAGCAGCTTCATGAAAAATGGCAAAAGGATGACAAGTTATGCAGTGACCACATAGGACAAGGTGATTGAGGCAAAGGCCCTGCCAGCAGATGTGTCATCACAGAAGGCTGAACTGATTGCACTGACAAGAGCCCTAGACCTGAGCGAGGGAAAAAGGTAAATATATGGACTGTCTCAAAATATGCATTTATGGAACCATCTGGAAGGAGAGGACTCTTGAACACTCAAGGTAATCAAATCAAATATGCTGAACAAATATTGCCCTCTTAGAGAGCATTAAAAAACCTGCAGAAGTAGCTATCATGCATTGTAGAGGTCACCAAAAGGGAAAAACCACTCCAGAACTGGGAAATTGCTTTGCTGATAAAGCAGCAAGAAGGATTGCAGAAAAAGGTATTCTCACAGTAATTACACAAAAAGGGATTGATTTGTCGGAGTATACACCAAAATATGACCAAGCAGACCACAAACTAATTAAATTACTTAAAGCTGAAATCACAGAAAGTGGATGGGCTGTTACACTGGCAAACGAGGTGGTAGTCCCATCCCTGATCCTTCGGGAGTTGGTTCAAAGAGACCATGAAACCTCACATTTTGGGGTTGAAAACCTTTTGAACATCTAAAAAAGGTAGTAATAGGAAAAGGAATTCTTGATATTATACAATCAGTAGTAAGTAAAAGTGAAATCTGCTGTAAAAACAACCCTAACACAAGAAAGAGAGTTGTGTTAGGAGTAACAAAAGCAGAGAATCATCCTGGAGATTACTGGTGAATAGATTTTGAGGACTTACCACCTGAAGAGGGATACCTGTACTTTTGCTTCCATCTTGGAGCCATCCGAGCAGGAGCCACGTCAGTGGCATTGGTAATGCCAGGGTATGGCCTTTGAAGGAGCCACAATAAATGTCCGTTCTATTCCTCTTAACTCTGTCTAGCCTCTGTTCCAGCTCCTCTAGGCATCAAGAAAACTGCGGCAGTGGCAGAGTCACCGGGTAGAACCAATGTTACTTCCAAGAGAGCTCGAGCTACAACAGAATCATATTGTGCCACAGATCGCAGAGCCCAGAGAGTTCAGGCTGTGACAGAGTCACCGTGTGCCACAGATCGCAGAGCCCAGAGAGTTCAGGCTGTGACAGGATCACCGTGTGCCACAGATCGCAGAGCCCAGAGAGTTCAGGCAGTGGCAGTGTTACGGTGTGGCACCGATCGCATTGTCCATACAGCTAAGGCAGTGATAAATTCTCTTTTGACACCGATCGGACGGCTCGGAGAGCTCGGCAAGTGACGGAGCCACCGTGTAGCACCGATGGCAGTGCCCACGGAGCTCAGGTAATTATCAGACTCACTGCGTAGCGACGATCGCAGAGACCAGATAGGTTTAGCACTCACAGTCAGGGCGTGGCAACGATCGGAGAGACGCGAGAATTCAGGAAGAGTCACCGTGTAGCGATGATCGGGCAGCACAGAGAGTTCGGGCACTGACCGGGTCACGGTGTGGCGCAGATCGCAGAGGCCAGATAGTGCCGGCAGTGACAGATTGACTGTGTGGCACCGATCGCGATATCCACAGAACTCGTCCAGTGACCGTCACGGTGTGCCACCGAGCAGAGAGCACAGAGAATTCAGGCTGTGACAGAGTCACTGTGTGGCACCGATAGCAGAACCCAGAGAGCTCGAGTAGTAACAGAGTCACGGTGTGGCGACGATCGGAGTGGCCAGAGAGCTCAGGAAGCGAAAGAGTCTCTTCGCGCCAGCGATCCTA